GTCCCTCGGCCCTTAAAGGGGACAGGTTGCCTACCCCTGCTCTATTTAATTTAAAGATTGCATTTCCCATTATGACCAGGGTAATGAAATGGCAAGTTAAGTCTATCACAATGGGATGGACAGCTAAATCCATAAGGTCTTTCACCATAGTTGACCCACCAACTGGGTCCCACAAGGAATGCTGAGAAGTACTTTGAATTTGCTCAGAAACTTTAATAATCTGGATAATCAACTGTTATTTTTTTACTATATTTTCTATATAGCAATAGCAAGTATATTTCTATACCACTTATCAGTGCATTTAAGCACTCCCTAAGCAGTTTACAATGTGTAAGCTAATTGCCCCCAACAAGCTAGGTACTCATTTTAGCGACCTCAGAAGGATGCAAGCCTGAGTTGAGCTTGAGCCCTTGGCTGGTATTGAACTCGCAACCTTGCAGTTTGTGAGTGAGTGGCTGCAGTACAGGCATTTAACCAGTGCACCACCAGGGCTCCTACTAATGAGCTGCTGCATTGACTCTAATGCTTATTGTTAAACTTCTGAGCTACACTATAGTATGTAACCCATGTTCCAGGCAAAAACCTTGAATCTCAGACTAAGGGGGAGTATGGATTTGTTCCAGAATGTAGTCTATAACTGTTCCTCTTTTTTTAAAAAAAAATCCTACTAAAAAAAAATCCCTTATTCTATAGAAGCAAGGGTTTCCTGCAAGCCTGTCAATGGGAAGGGAATATTCTCCAGGGAAGAGAAGAACTGTAAGGAATATATTTCTTAAACAAAACAATCCTGATTCAATTGCACTATAACATAGGTATTAACCATAACATTAATATATTTCCGTATCTCTGCTTGTTTGATTCCTTCTAATCTATGTAAGCAATGTATCCACTTATTTTCAAATATACAACCAGACAAGTCAAAGAAATATGACTCATTGGACCAATGATTTATCTTGTTAATATAGCATTAGCATCAATAAGGGGCAATCCTAAGTATGATACAAGGTGAACTTTCATGACATTCTACATTTTTTCATGATAAATTACAACTTGTAGTATCAGATCTTTCCATGTAGCCTCAGTAATTTTAATAAAAGGCGAGAGGTATTCCAGTATATTACTGTATCTCTCCTTTAACAGTCCTACAGTCTATGGTTGTAAGTGATCTATGAGACTAGATTGTATCACCTGTGAGGAAAAAGCAATTAGGTTATTTTGTAATTGTGTACATTGGATAGCAGTTGAAAAGTTATACATATTGTGTTGCAAAGTGGTTCCCAAATCAGCAATAATTTGTTGCACAATTGCCACCCACCATGGCAGTAACTGTCATAATAAATCAAAACCTTGTGCCAGATGAGCCCCGAGGCAACAGAAGCACCAAAATCCTTTGTTCTAGATCCAATTATACCCAGCTTATCAACTTCAGAGTCAATGGCATTTAAAATCTACACCAATTTCTCCAAAGACTTTGGGGGGTTGCAGACTGCCAGAAATAGTGCAAATTGAGT